TTCGCAGAGGAGACTGCCTCCCCGGGGCCCGGCACCCCAGCCTGCAGCGGCTCTCCACCCGGCAGGAGCAAGCAAGGAGCCCACTGGAGAAGAGCCATGCTCCGTGTGAGCCGGGGGTGGGAGTGAGGGGCGGGAAGCGTGCGGGAGCTTACTGGCTAGGTGGCTCGGGCTGTGGAGCTACGTAGGTCTGTTTTCTGATCCTGACCCTGCTGCATTCTGGCACAGGGCGAGTCATGCGCCTCGAGTTTCTCCTTCATAAAGCAGGGACTCGTGTTACCCCCACTGAGGGAGAGTCAGTGGAGATAATGGACACGAACCATTTAGCACAGGGCTTGAGTTATATTAAATACTAAATGCATGCTACCCCACGCTCCAAAAAAGGCCATGTGGGAGACTAGGCCCTTTGCACTTTGGTGAGAACTCAGAAATTTCAGATCCAGAATATGTCAAGTCCCAGAGTTCGTTTTCTCACTCAAGAAGTCCAGCAAGACTCATGTGGCCTTAAAAATAAATAAATAAAAAACCTCCTAGGGCCTCTATGAGGGTGCCTTGACTGAACCGTATCTGCTTTCAGCTGAAATTCCAGCATTCCGTGGACCTCGCTGACCCTGTTCTGATTGCCTTAGATTAATAGTAAACAGGACACGTGAATTATTTCTTTAAAAGCACAGTTTAGGGCCCTGCCTGGTGGCGCAGAGTTAAAGCGCAGCACTGAGAATCTAAAGCCGCTTCCGCATGAGTTCGATTCCCACCTGCCCCGGAGGTGGCCACATGGCGTGGCAGACCTCTCCTGACCCGCCCGCTGCTCCCCTCAGCAGTGTACTTCGTCCATCTGCCTGTTCTGCTCCCCATTCTGTCTCTGGTGAAGCCTCTCGCCGCCCCTGAGCCTCTGGCCTGTACCCCAGCTCTGTATGCACAAATAAATAAACCTTTAAAAAAAAAAAAAGCACAGTTTATGTGGGAGACATAAATCCTTCTAAATAGGCAGAGGTGGAGGGAGGAGGAGAATTAACAAGGGGTGTCCTCCGAGGAAGCCATGCAGACCAGGGAAGCTGGTCCCTCAGGGCTGAGGCTGCCCTGGCAAAGACTCGGCATGGGGACGAGGGTGTGGGTGGCGGTAGGCCCTGCTGGCGCAGGGTGAGCTGTGCCCAATGGCAGGGTGCCCAGACTGCCCACCGGAAAGAGGCCCTGAGGCTGTGTGGCCCCAGGCCCAAGTGGGGGCTGCTTGACCCACAGCCTGGGGGCAAGCAGTGATGAGGATGTCCCAACACCCCAACTCAGACTGCCTCCAGGGCTCAACCCTCCCCAGGCCCCTGTATTCCCTGAGGGCCCCAGACAGCTCCCCTGCCAGCCCCTTTCCAGGTGCTCGCTCTGCTAAGCTGCCTGCACGGAGCGTGCCTGCAACCCAGACGCTGTGTCCTTTCCTGTCGGGGCTGCAAACAGAACTTCCTGAAACCTGGTGGGACCAGCTGGCAGTGGGAAATGACTTTTTTTTTTCCAGGGGAGGAACTCAAGGGGGGCGCCAGAGCCGAGAGTCACTTGTGAAGCCAGAGTCTTCAGAGCTTAAATTGGAAGAGCTCTAAACTCAGGGGGTGGATCTGAATGCCACAGGCCGGCAGACTTGAGAGCATCCCTTGCAGTCAATGGAAAGGCAGGAAAGCCTTACAGGGAAGCCAGGGAAGGGACAAGGTCAAGGTCACACGCATGAACAGGAGGGCTGGCACTTGCTCCAACCCATTCCATCACCAAGACATTGAATCCTCATTCCTGCTGCCAGAAGCTACCTGGTGAGACCCTATTTACTCTCCATATGGGGGTTACAGAGGGAGATTTGGGGTGCACCAAAGAATGTCCTAGCCCCGACCCAGTGAACAGGACTTCCTGCCAGTGGGGTCCTTCCCTGGCAACTCTTTGTGAAGGGTCCCCAGGTCTCAGGCTCAGCTCGGACCCCCGCAAGCCCTGCTGGCATAGAGGCAAGAACACGACCAGATCAGCCGGGCCCAACACCATCGCCAGCAAGATGCTCCTCCTTTGGAGGCTGCGTTATCTCCACTACCAAGTGGGAGAGAAGTTTGAAGAGGATTTCTAGAAGGCAGTTCGGGCACAGCATTTCACCCCGAAATATTCTTTAACTGCCCTCTTCTGCCAGCCACCTCCCCACCCTCAACCCACACAAACCTCTTTTGTGGAATGAGTTAGCACCAAGCATAAGTGGAACAAATTCTTAGGTGTGCAAATCCATTCCTTCCACATTCCGACAGCGACCCTGAGAGAAGCCTGGCCCTTGACCTGCAGCCTTTACCTGCCCAGGAGATAGCAGGGCCAGAGCCAGAGGCCCTGCTGAGGCAGTTGGTAAGGGCTGGGGAGGAAGGGTCACAGGAGACCACCAGCCGGGCCTGCCGGAGGGGCAGAGGTGACCATCAGGCCCTAGGCTAGAAGACCCAGGGGCTGGAGCTGGCTATTTTTAACTCAGTTTAATTTTCTCTACCTGGAAACCAACACTGGCCAGCGGAGTAGCGTTGTTCCCGGAACGGCCTCACCCCTGGGACCTGAGCACACTCAGGTTCCCCGGGCCAGCCTCTCCATTTCTCGGGCTCCTGTCTGCCCCCTGGAGCTGAGGGCAGGGACTGGGCAACGCGAGTCGCCTCGCAGCTCCCGCCCTGACCTGTTGGGCAGACGCAGCCCCTGCTCTCTCTCGTCACCTCCTTTCACACACTGCAGGCTCCTGTCTCCTGGCCCGTTTAATTCTTCTATTATGTTTCCCAGACTCGGAGCCTCTGGCCTATTGTCGTCCAGGGTAGCACTTCACGTTTGTGTAAAGATTAGACGGTTGGAAGCCCCGCTCTCATCTGGATGGTCTTTCTCCTTTACTTTGGCAAATCCAAGGTCTTTTCTCCTCGCTACGCTCTGCTTCCTTGTCCTCCTCTCCCTGCTTGTCTTTATCTGCCTCCCTGTTTGTTTTCCTCCCCACCCTGACCCCCTCCTTCTCCCTGCTGACCTGCTTTCTCTTCTTTCTTCTCTTCACGGTTCAGTAATTTGAATTCTCTATCCACCCCCTATCACCACCCTCACCCTGCCTAATGCCATTTTTATATTCTCTCAGAGGCTCATAGAAATGACTGGGGGTATTGCTCACCTCATTCCAGAAATATTCTTCTAAATTCTTAGAGAGGCACCACCAGCGGAGGGCTGTGAGCTCTGCCAGGGGTGTCTCCGCGGTTTGTGGGGCTGACCAAGTCTGGCGGCCTCCGCAGACTGTGGCCTGGTCAGGCGGCCCCTCTCCAAGCCTCCCAGGCAGCAACGGGCCGATGCCCAGGTGACACGCGATGCCCTGGGGTTGTGATGGCGAGGACAGGAAAGCCTGCTGAGCACACAGTAGGCGATCAGGATGATTTTTTCTTCTTCCTTTGCAACCTGACCCAGAGCACAGAGGGTTGCTCTTGCCCCCACTGGCAGTGGCACACACGTGCCTGCGTTCAACGTGCCTGAGGAAGAAGCAGAGTTGACGGTTCCTTAGGGTTACCTATGGCCCCTTCATAGATGACGAACAGCATCTGCTGAAAACAGATATCGGGCAGCCTGGATTCCCGAGGACCTTATTTCAAAGCCGGGTATTTACTAAGTCATCTCCCTCTCCTGCAGAGAGTGCCACTCTGAGGGCCTCAACTGTGTGCCAGGCACGCTCCTGGCCAGCGTCCTCTGGAATCCCGGACCTCGATTGCTGGAGAGATAAGCCCAAGTCATGAGTCAGGCCTGCAGGAACGGGATGCGGGAATAAGAGGGCCTTTCCTGTCGTGCTGGAGGCAGGGACCAGAGAAGTCTGCGGGAAGTGGACTCTGAGCCAACGAGGGAGCAGAGGGTAATTGCCATCACCACAAGCCACCCAGCTGGGCCCAAAGCGTCCTGCTCCCTCTCCAGCAAGGCCAGACTCCTAAGTCAGCAGAAGGGCCAGGGCCAGAATGCTAATCCCCAGGGAGGAGCTCCTGAACACTCGCATCTTGCCCTTTTTTTGCAGAAAATAGCCGCTGAGATGAGTCAAGACATCTTGTGATGTCCAAGATGAAGCCTTACAAGTGTTGTTTTGTGGGTGGGGGTGGGGGGGGCGGCTATCTTTCTAGAAAGGTTTATGAAGTTACCTTCTTAGTCTCAAGAGATCCTGTGAGCCACACAGGCTTAAAAATAGCACCTATATATCCCCCTCCTCATCCCCAGCTTTATTCTGCAAGCAACGAAACAGAAGCCCAGGAGGGGTGTCCTTGACCCTGGCTCTTCAATTGATAGCTTCTGGAGGGGACCAGAACTCCTGTCCTCAGACTCGGAGGTGGGCAGTGGAAGCAGGGGTGGGGGTGGACACTTTCCGGGTGAAGTAAGAATGAGGCAGCTCCCGACTAGCCAGAGATCAGGCGTGAGATGTGTCCTTCACTGAGAGAAGAGGCCCAGAGATGGCTCTTTCTTGCCCAAGGCCACACAGCCTTGAGCAGGCCTTTTATCTCCTACACAATAGAGGAGTATCCTCAGCCCAGCAGTAATAGGGTCTCCTCAGAGGGAGGAGGGAGGTTTTGCTCAAGGGACCTCCCCTCTAAATCCTTAGCACAGGGTAAGACATGAAGTAGCCACAGAGAGAGTGGGGGAGGAGGCACCAGGCAGTTTGGGGGTGCCTTAGGAAGTCCAGTGGGACTGAGAGCTGCAGGGGAGCCTCAGGACTCGGGGAGGTGCTCCAGACTCAGAGGGAGGAGCAGCGGCCTTCCACCCTCTCTCCGCCCTCCCCCCTCCACCAGAGAGGCTGGGGCGGGCCAGGCGCCCGGGGAGGAGGCGGTGTCCCTGGCTCCCTGCCCGCCGGTGCAGCAGCGGGGCAGGGCTGGACGGGCAGGGGCGGAGCGGCGCCTGGTATTATAAGAGGCAGCCAGGGCACCCAGCTAATAAGCTATCACTCGGCTTGGCAGTAGGACGCTGGCAACGCTGCGCTCCCGTCCAGCCCGCGCGCTCCAGCCCCTGCGCTCCCTCATCCGCTCCATCATCGCTATGGTCGCTGCGCTCACCGGTTGGTGCTCCGTTGCTCTTGTCCTGCTAGTGGCCTTGCATGAAGGTGAGCTGCCCTGGCCGTGCCTGCTGCAGCAGCCCCTGGGTCTGTTTGTTGGTGTCACCCCCTGTCCCCAGCAAGCCAGCTGGGGACGCACCGGGGCAGCATGGGAGCGGAGGGGTCTGCAATTCAGAGGTGCTGCAGGCACAGGGCAGCAGCCAGCCCTTCCCACCTGGGCTGCTGGGGCTTCCCCAGGCTGGCCCAGAGCTCCTGAGCAGCGAGTGCCAACTTCCTCAATTATGCAAGAGGAGGAGCCCAGCCGGTCCCCGACCCCCGCTGTGCCAGGCTCGCTGACCCACCTTCACCTCTCCCTCTTTGCATGCAGGCAAGGGCCAGGCCACTGCCCCCCAGGATCAGCCTGCACCCTCACCCCATGCCCGAGGCTCCCACCTGCGACCCCGGCGTTGTTCCTGCAGCTCCTGGCTCGACAAGGAGTGCGTCTACTTCTGCCACCTGGACATCATCTGGGTGAACACTCCAGGGTAAGCGGCAGGGGAACCCAGGCGGGGCTGCTAGGGTAAAGGGCACGGGGTGCTGCACTGGCATGCTGGCAGGCTACGGGCCCAGGACAACTCTCCCAAGTGGGGTTATTGTTTCAACCCCCACGGGGGGGCTGCCTGGACAATATTGAGAGGGATCTCCGAGAATTCGTCCAACAGGCTGGTAGGAAAGTATTGGCTCCATTTTCCAGATCAGGATACTGAGGTTCAGAGAGGTTAGGTGCCTCCCGCTAAGTCACACAGGATGGACGAGTGGGAGGTGGAAGTTCCCTCCAGGTCTGAGGACGCGGCGCTCGCTTCCTCTGCGTGGTCTTCCAAGAATAACATGATTAACGACAGCGCCCATGTCTCCCTGTGCCAGGCACTCTGCCAAGCACTGCTCGCGCGTTATCATCTCGGGAAGCCCCATCCTCCCCAAGAAGCAGATACTGCAGTTGTCCCCAAATGACAGACGGGAAGCCTGCCTGTGTCACCTGGCAGCGCTGGGGTAGCCGCCTGGTGCTGCCTGCTCTGTCTGCACCCGCACTGCCTCCAGGCCACTGCATACTTCATGCTGAAGTTTCTGTGTGTGTTTGTGTGTGTTTTTTTTTCCTTCCCCAAATTGCAAAAGGCAAGAGAAGCCCTGCACGTAAGCGTGTGTGGAGCTAATCCGCAACCAAACATTCGCTCAGGGCGGGAACCCTGCCAGTCCCTGCGTGCTGGGTCTACCTGGAGTCATCACAACTCCAACCACATCGTCTAAAATTAGCTCTGGCACCCAGGGGTGCTGGTCCAGCCGGCCACAGAGCCCTCGCCCTGCCCCCGGCATGCCTTGGCCAGACTCTGGCCTGAAATCCATCCCGCCTGAGCTCACACTCGAGTGTGCATACACACTCATGCACACTCGCTCTGCTTGAGTCAGAGCTCAAGCAAATGTATGTCACCACCTCTTCCGGCAAGCGGTGACCAGGTGGGGGCAGCTTAGGTGTTTACTCGTGTGCGCTGGAGCATCTCCCCTTCCTCCAGGGTCAGCTGAGAGCCAAATTTGAGAACAGGGGCCAGCCTGGCCCCATCAGCTCCTGTTGCTGTCTGAGAGGAGAAGAAGGGCTGAAAGGACCCCCCCACTCCCTGCTTGGGGGGGGCATGTTTTCTCCCCCTCTTCCCCATGCTGGAAGGGGTGGGAGGGCCAGCGAGGGTGGGGGAGGGCCCAGAGAAGGGAGGGGTCTTGTCCAGGGCCGCCTGGCTCCTGGGAGACACTTCTTGAGATCAGGTCCAGTCACTAGTCACTGCCAGCCGGGCGGCAAGGGAGGCCATCACGTGCGGCGTGGACAGTCTCTGCTCCCCAGTGCTCATGGTTTATCTAATCCTCCCTCCCTCTCTCTCTCTCCCTCTCGCTCTCGCTCTCTCTCCACCCTACAACACTACCTTGCTGGCTGGCTGCCCACAGACAGACAGCTCCTTACGGCCTGGGAAACCCGCCAAGACGCCGGCGCCGCTCCCTGCCAAGGCGCTGCGAGTGCTCCAGTGCCAGGGACTCCGCCTGTGCCACCTTCTGCCATCGAAAGCCCTGGTAGGTGGGCACCCAGTCAGCAGGGGCCAGGGAGCTGCTGGCCTCGTCCTCCCCTGGGGACCATGGAGTCTGGGAGCGCAGAGGCCAGACGCACAGGCTTCCCTGGGCCTGGGGCTTCTCAGAGTGCCACCCCAGGCAGTCGCCTGAGCCCCTCCCAGTGTGACTCTGGGAATCATGAGAGCACTGGCATCCTTACTCCTGGGGGAGGATTCTCCTGTCGCTGCCGCGGTCAGTCCCACAGAGGGGAAAGGCTCATCCTGGCGAGCCACACCTCTGGTCCCGAGAGCTGGGCCTTCAGTCTCCATCTTGTCACCTTGTGCTTGGACTTTGAGTTCAGACCTGAGGCTTGGGGGGGACTTTGGAATTTTCTTGGTGAAGAAATAACTTCTGGAGTTGAAAGACTTTGGTACCATCCTAGGCTTGCCCTAGGTTCCTGGGGGTCTTTGCCAAATCTCTTAATTCTCTGGCCTCAGTCTCCCCATTTGTATAAGAGATAGGCTTTATCCCAGCCCTCCTCCTCTTGGAGAATTTGGGGGAAAGCAGAAGGTGGCTGTGCAACCCCAAACCTCTGGTGACCGTGATTGTTTCCGAGAAGCTCCTCCTTTGGGGCTCAAGCTGAGGTTCCACCCCTACCTCAGTTTCCCTGCAAAGAACAGCACTCCGCTGCAGGTGGCCAGATTCTGGGAAGGCCAGCCACCCAGCTGCCTCTTTTGAGGCTAAGAACACATTCCCGGTAGCTCAGTTTTCCTCGGTCCCCACCCCGCCTGGGAAAGGAAGGTTGCCAGGTGCACAAGGGGTGGAAATGGATCTGCTCCTGAGGGCGGGCGGGGGTTGGGGGGGTAGGCCGGGCCTGCAGCCAGGTGGCCTCGGGGCCCTGGGCAGCCCCTCACTTGGGCCCCAATGCTGTTTGTTCAGGTCTAAAGCCACGGCCGTCCCCAGGGCCAAGTCCCCTGCAGATGAGTTCCAGACTGGCAAGACAAGGACCACGGCGGGAGAGATCCTCCGGCGGCTGAGGTGAGGAGGGCCCACTTGACTGAGCCTCCTTGGGGCTTTGCATGTTCCCCTTGTTCTCCATGTGGGGCAGGACGGGGGTCCCCACTGAGCAGCTGAGAGGAGGGAGACTCAGAGAGAAAGGCGCCTGCCCCAGGCCTCGGGCCACACAGCAGCCCTTAGCATCTGCTGAGCCTAGAGCCTGCACCACATTATACAATTTGCTGCTACTGGGTCTGATCTTTTTGAGAAGATTTGAGGGCGCACGGCTGTGGAAGGGCCATGGGTGTTCATTCAGTCTGTGTCTGAAAGGAACCTCTCCCACAGCTGGCATTCAGGGAGCCAAGAACCCAGGCCTCTCCGGCCCCACTGCTGCAGACCAGCAGCAGCAGCTTAAGCAGGGGCGCACGGGAGGGCGCGTCGGCGGCGGGAGCTGAGCGCAGAAACCCCGCACGTGGCTGAGCAGCAGAATGGGGCCGCTAATGGGGCAACTTTCAGAAACAGAACCCTGGCTCTGCCAGGCTTGGTGACCTTGGGCTTGTCGCTTAGCTTCTCGGTACTTGGGGCTCTATGTTGGGAAGGAGGACAGCAAATGCCGTCTGAAGTTAGAGGCTGTGTAGTTAGAGGAGTTGACGAGAAGGAAGTAGAGCAGGCAGCCAAGGCCCTCCTGGTGTCATTGAAGGCTCGTTGGTCAGTGTGAGTCCGGAGTGGCCCCTAGAGAGCTCCCTCTTAGAGGGGAGGCAGGTCACAGGTGGGAAGGCAGGCCAGGCATATACTTGGGAATTGTCGTACACTAAAAATAAGAAAAATTAAGATAAACGTTGCAGTGTATAACACTCACTGTGGGCAAAACTTGCTTTGTCAACCTGAGCTTAAACTCACAACAGTTTCAGCCTTGTTTTATTTGACAGACCACGAAAGGGACTCAGAGAGGTTGAGACACTTGCCCAAGGCCTCACAGTGGGGAACTGAAGCTCCCAGGCTAGAGCACTTTGGGCCAGGATAAAACCACCTGGAAGAGACCTGGCCAGAGTGTCGGCCAGGTGCAAAGGGCGGCTAGCACCCCATTGTCTGGGTTGGGCCATGTCGGGCGGGACCTTGGACAATGGGGAGAATTTTAACAGGCAGAGCTTGAGTGCAGGCAAGGTGGCCAGGCTGAGCACAGGGAAGGGGGTGGAGAGGCAGGTCACCAGAGACACTGGCCTACTCCTGGCTGTCTGGTCACTCCAGCAGCATATGGTGTTGACAACTGTGCCTGTAGGCAGAGAAGCTTCCAGGCCTGTCCTAGACTGTCCAGGAAGTGCAGACCTTGTTTCCAGGGTCAATTGTGCTACCCATGATGAAGGGTCCCGGCCCCTACTGCCTCCACCACTCCCCAGGAACACTTGGTCAGACCATATCTCCTGAGATACTAAATTGACTCTTCTCCATCTCCAGGGAAATGTCCACCGCCAAGATCCGCTTTGCAAGGCAACAGCAAGTGGCAGCGAAGGAGCACAGGCCCACACACTCCAGGTGGAGGAAGAGATAGCATCGGGAAGCTGGAGGAACCTTGGGAAGGAAACCTGTGTGGAGCCAGGAGGAGGGGCAGCCCTGGGCTGGAGAGACACCCTCCACCTGTTCCCTGGGCCAGGCCTGCTGGGATTGGCACAAGCTCTGGCTTCCTCGCCCCGTGAGGGCGCTTCCCACGAAGCAGCTCCATGCCCTCACACTGCCCAGGAGAGCCCTCGACCTGCAGAGCGGCCTGCCCACTGGCTTTCACCCCACAGCCTTGTTGGAAGGAACTGTGCAGAGCCCGCTCGCCCAGAGGTCCCATCCTGAGACTTGTCCTGTGTCGGCTACCAGCCCGGAGTGACGTGTGACAGTGGACCATCACGCCTGAGCCAGCCCTGGAGGCTGTGCTGCCCAAGGACTGGTGTCCTGGCTGGCCCCCACCTCTGCCCTCCCACTGTCCTGCCCCAGCATCCTTGTACCCGCATACCCCGGGGACACGCCTAGAGACGAGGGGCTGTTCTGTTTCACCTGTCTGTATATAACTTATTTGCTCTAAGACCTTTGATAACTCCAATTATTTATTTTAATGTATTTTTTTAGATTCACAATTATTGACCTGTGAACTCGTGTTTGTAATAAACAATGAAATGGTACACTGGTATACCATTTGTCTTGGCAGAGGCAGGAGTGAGGGCTGCTAGGAAGTTAGGGGGACACAGGAAGGGAGGGTTTGGAGCAGGCGGCCAGAACCCTGGGTTCCACTCCCCACACCTTTGCTGGGCATCTTTGGCTACCGGCCCATCCTCTCTGGGCTTTTGCCTGTCACACCCCTAGACAAACCATTCACAGCTCTGACACCCAGGGTTCCAGGTCCTACATACCCATCAGGCCAGGAATTGATGACTAAGCATGTGTGGAAAGAGCCAAGAGTATGCAGGTGCCAAAACCCACCCTGCCCCCCACTGCTTTGTCCATGAGTAGAGCTGGGTGGCCTAGAGCCAGTCCTTCTAGGAGGGCTGTGCTGGACCAAGTCCAAGACTGTGAGCTGCCCTAGTGGCCCAGGGTGGAACTACAGCCTGGCCTCACGCCTCACCTGAGCCTTGGGTGGGACCTTGCCAGGCGGTTTTAATGCATCTCAGACCCAAGAAGCTTCAGGGCTCTAGGACCGGGTTGGCCCACCCTGAAAGGCCCAAGAAGCAGCCACCTGAGTCCTAGAGCTCACCAGTAGCCAGGAACACTTCCGCTGCCAGCCACCTGGACCCACAGCTGCCATGTTTGCCAAGTCCCCTCCCGAGCCAGCTGTTCCCGTTCCTCCTGCTGGCACGTGCTGGGAGGGGCAAACTGAGGCCTACAGCCACAGCTGAAAAATATTTATACATTGCTCTGATCTTGCTAGACCCATGAAGTCAGCCCAGATCCCCTCGTGGAAGAAAACAGTTGACAGATATTAAACTTCCACTGTAACTGGCACTTGACCCAGCATAACTCATTTCGTCCTCACAGCAACACTATAACACAGGTACTTTCAGGGCTCCCCTTTTACAGATTACGGCATTGATGCCCAAAAGGCCTCTGACTCCCCAAAGTCACGCAACAAGTAAGTGGTGATGCCAGGACATGAGCCAGCCTATGGCACATGTGTGCACAGGCATGTGTGTATGAAATAATCACCTGCTGCTTAAGTTCGGGGATCACCCTGAGCAAATCCTTTTTTCTTCCTGAGCTTCAGTTTTTTCATCTGTAAATTGGGAGCCTCCCTTCCCTACGCAGGGTCTGGTGTGAACCCTAAAACTGTAAGTGACAGTGCTGGGTTCAACCCTGCTCAGGCCACCAGAGGTGACTGTGCCATGACAGAGGCCACCTTAGAGTCAAGGGGCCTAGGAGGAGAGGCTGCAGTGGGAAGCAGTCAGAGAAAGACCCCTGGATCGAGACTCTACTCCCTCAGCTTCACAGATGAGTAGGATGCAAGTAAATAGAAAAACTGTGGAGGAGCTTCTAGACAGAGGGAGAGGGGGGGTGAAGGGGTAACAGAAGGAGTGACAAAGGGGCTTCCCACGGACGACCCCATGCAGGGGAACTTGGTGAGAGGACAACTGGGTGTGAAGCCAGAGAAGTTTGGAAGCTGAAGTATGGAGTCTGGACCTTCTCTTAAGGGCCGTAGGGAGCCACAGAAGTTCCATGAACAGAGAGGGACCTGATCAGACTGGGCTTTGCAAGCCAGCCCCTGGGTAGGAGTGAATGAGACAGGAGGCAGAGAAGCAAGATCACCACTGGCCTGAGGGGCCCCCAGTGCATCTCAGGTAGTGAATTGGTGGAGTGGGGTCAGCCTGTTGGCTTACTGTGACCTGAGGCCAGAGCACCCCTCTCAAATTTCCACTGATTCTGCCACTAGGGGCAACTTGCTCCCTGGCAATCCATCATCCCAAGCAAATGACCTTGTTCCCTTGGAAACTCAAACGCACCGGCCAATGGCCAGGCTGGGCAGCCAGGTGGGGCGGCCCCAGGATGGCAGGTGGGATGGAGAGCCTGGCAAGATGAGGAGATCCTGGTTGCTAGTGTATGGAAGTCCCGGGAAGCAAGCATCAGTGTCCTTGGCATGAGCCCAATGGCCCTGACCAGGGTTCAAAGATCAGCGACCAGAATGATTAGTAACAATGATGATTGAAGGGAAGCGAGAAAGCTCGAGGCGGGTAAAGCACTCCGACATCGTAGCCCTTAGATTTTTGTTTTTTGGAGTTGGGAGTCTCTGGTGCGGACCTGCTCTTGAGGGGCTGCTCTGGCCTCCTTCAGTCACGCCTCTCTTGACAGGATGAAACACTCACAGGGGTGGGGGGTCATGAGCACCCCAAGTTTGTGCCTGCTTCTAGTCACATTCCAGGTAGCTGCAGCCCCAGAAGCGTGAGGACGATAGGGGAGAGTTCGAGGGAAAGCAGAGGAAAATACGAGAGGCAAAAATGGAATTCTGGGAAGGGTGTCAACATTTGAGGAAGCTCATCTTTTCCTTTTCCTGTCTTTTTCATGAACACGTAGGCTTTGTCGAGGTTTTTTGAATCAAGTGTGTTCCTCTTGACTGGAACATTAGGCCAAGGAAGGCCAGAAGGGGGCACAGGATCATCCGAATATATTAGGTTACAGAAGCAGAGGCAGAGAGGTTCCCGGGCCCCACATCCAGGGCAAAGTGGCCTGCTACAGGTCCAGGCAGACCCAGCCCTCCCTCCCCCCAGGATGCCTCACCCCCTGCCTTCACTCAGAAAAGAACCCCAAGGAATGTCTTTCTCTCCCTCTCTCTCTCCCTGCCCACCCCCCAACTAAAAATAGAGACCAGGTTGTTGGGTTTTCAGTTCTGAAAAGTTATTTGCCTATCAAGGCAATAAATCACTGGAATGTAGCCATCCATTCATCCAACAATTATGAATAATCACCTCTCTCGGGAGACTCTTGCAAGGAAGACAGACACAGCCTCTGCCCTCACAGGCCAAGAGGAGAGCCCTTCAGGAAAACACTGTTAAATATTAAGATAAAAATAATAGCACAGCTAACATTTATTGAGCCCTCAGTGAGAACTTTCTGCATATTAATGCCTTGGCTCCTCACAACACTCTTAGGCAGCAAGCTCTGTCGTTATTATTCCCATGTCACACAAGTAGTAACTGAGAGGCTCTAGAACTTGCTCAGCTTGCACACAGCCAGCATATGGCGGCGCTGGATTTAAACCTAGCGCTAAGCGTCTATGCTCTCCTGACTCTGATAGGGGACCTGACACCAGGATAGAGTCCATGGGGTGGAGGAATCCTGGAGGGTATCCTGGGCCAAGTTCAAAGGGATCAGTCAAGTGAAGGGGAGAGTGTTCCAAGCAGCAAGAACTGCTTAAGTGAAGACTGAGAAGAGGGAGCAAAAGAAGGTGGCATCATGAAGAAGGCTGTGAAGGGCGCAGGGAATGGGCAGTGCCCTCCCGAGCACCAGGACAAGTGTGAGCACCTGGCAGAGTCTGGGTTATCACCCCCACCATAGCCCTTCAATGTCTCCCAGAAGAACAGCACCACCCCCGAAATGCCCTTCAAGTTTAAGCCTCAAGATCAAACTCACAGGCTGGCAAAGTGAAGGACAGGAGATGGGCCGTGTTAGGGGCAGCCCTTTGAGCTGGCGGGAGGGGGTGGGGGGAGGCTTGGGGTGTGGGTAGGGCTGGCATGTGCTGGGGTGAGGGAAAAGGCATCACTGTGGAGGGTAAGGACATAAGGCACCACTGGCCAGAGCATAGAGACTCAGAGGCATAGGCCAGACTGAAAAGAGCACCCAGTGCCAGGAATTTGAACGTGAGTGACGGGGAGCCAGGGAAGGTGGCTAAGCAGGGAGACCCAGGCAGCTGGCTTATCGCTGCCCCTCCCTGACCAGTGCTTCCAGCTGCCCCGGACCCTCCCAGCCCCACTCAGTGGAGAGCAGTGTGGGGCTCACCTCGGCCTGCCAGGGACCTGAGCCAAGAGCCCTCAGCAGCTCAGAAGGGGGCTCTGTGCGGGCCCGCCAGGAGCCCTGGAAGAGGAATGTGGCCTAATTAATTCTCCGAAGCTCAGAGGCCTCGCCTTGTGGGAGCAGCTGCCAGGACAGGCCTGCCAGGACGCCACCGGCCCAGCCTGTCGATCACTCAGTGCGGAAGAGAGTGTGGAGGACTGGGAGACAGGGGCTCAGGGGGCAGCCCTTCACCTCCAGGCGCACACGTGTCCTCTGGCCTCTTCACAGCCAGTGGAACAGTAATAGCGATAGCGCTGGCCAACGGGCCGCGAAGGCTTGGCGAAGCCTTGCAGTGTGCCAACCCCTGTGCTGAACTCCGGAACTCACTTATCTAATCACTGTGAAGACCAGTGAGGTGGGTGCTGTTAGTGCCGTTTGCAGATGAGAAAACTGAAGCTCTGAGAGGTGACTTCCGTACCCAGAGCCATGCACAGAAAGCACCTGGAGGGGAGCTGGGGGCTGCAGGCAGTCTGAGCCCCAAGAGGAGCGTGTCATAACCATCACACTGGGCTGGCTCAGTAGGAGAAATCGAGGTCCAGGGAGGCATGTCCTTTCACTAAAAGGGGCTGGGGCCCCCAGATACTGAAAGGAGTAGGACCTGAGGGGAACAGCCACACCACTAGCCTCTGCTTGACCTGTTCCTCTAGAGGCTCCCATGGGGCTGGCCCTCCCTAGCCACAGGTCACACTCAGGGATGCATAGGAAGCAAATCTGTCTTGTGGGGTCTCCACCCACGGGGTCCAATCCTGTCATCTAACTCTGCCATGTGTGCTCAGTCCAGGAACATAGTAACACACTGAGCTGAGGCTGCATATCTCCAGAGACTCCTAAACTCCTGCACATAGGAGGGTCACAGAGGTCTAGGGCAGCTCGGAGTGGTGCAGGAGCAGGCTGGACCGTGGCTGGAACTTCCTAGCCACAGGAAGTGGCTGAGCCAGGGAAGACCCCAGGAGTGACCTGAAACTAAGGCTCTGACCTTCCTACACGGCGGCAGAGGAAGGTGGGAAAGCCACATCGTGCTCCTGCTCCGAGCCTGGGTTCCCATCTTCCACGCAGGATGA